TGTCCTCTACTATACGCTTCACAATCACCGGTAACATCACTAATAAGTCAAATAATATTAATAATCCCACAAAAATATAAGAGCCATTAAAATAAGTATTAACATGTTCAATTTTCTTGTTGTATGTAATGGAAGGGACGGGCATTTGTTGGCTATATATCTGCATACTATTCACTATTGAATTATTAGTTATTAATAAAATGTATGTTAAATCTATAGCCAATTGTAAGCGACAGAAGCCGTAATCAAAATATACATTTTCATCACTTTTCGGTATAGTTTTATGTGAATATAAATAATGGTAAGAATATGAATCAATTTTCCAATCATTAAAACTAATTTTATAATCCAAATGCTTGGGCGCACCGGTAGTCCACTCATGATCCTTCACTACAAAACTGACACCAATTGTTTTAAATACTCCTCTATCAGTGATATTAATCATATTTTTGGCAAAATTTTCATTGAACTCCTTTTCCGAGTCCACACCAAACACATGAAACATATCCGTTGTATTCACTGTAGGAATATTGAGTCGTTTTTCCACACTTTTCATCAGAATATTTGTATAAGAATTACGCGGATAATAGACAATCTCAAAGTATTTCCGACCACCTATTACATGTGAACCAGAGCTGATCCGCCATTCAAGTGGCCATATTGGTGTTGTGGCCATATTTTTATGTGCAAAATAAACTGCCGACACGTTTTCAATGGGATTGTCGTGAATGTCGTCGAAATCACTTTTGTCGATATGTTTGTCCCGTTGTAGTAATAAAACTGAAAGTCCCGCAAATATGATGGGAATTATGAATAACAATACAAATGCTATCTTATGGTGCAAACGGATTAACCAATTCTTGTATAATAATAACCTAATGACTGTTAAATGAGATGAGAATTTCATTTTGACACTATTGTATGAAATATTACTAGTAATTAAAATTAATATTATAAATATTTACGATATTAATTTCAAACAAAATTACTGACATTAAGTAATTTAAATGTAGTTTATCTATGATAGTCATATATTGACTGAACTGACATTACTGCCACTTTCAATGTTATTCTTGAGTGCAAGTCAAGGATTTTTACGAAAATAAAAACATAACAAAATTGAAAACTGAAGGTTATTTCCATAGGATGTGAAACTTATAATACTAGTATAATACTTATATAATACTTGCATTTCTATTAAATGTGAAAACATATTCATAATAAATGATTAGTAATAATCAGTGTTTACCAATCTTTTAACAATCCGTAAAAGGGGAAAACTGTAGTGAATGAGTAAAACTTTTTTTGGGTAGTGTCAATAATAAGCGGGCACTTGGCAATTTTTGCCTGGATATATAGTTAAGGATTGTTAAAAGATTGGTAAACACTTTGAATAATCAATCATACTAATATTGGAAAAATGTTTATATTGTCATTTAAATTATAGATTTTTACATAAACACATTATCTGATCAAATTTGATGCAAACTTTTTCTCATTAACTTTGATGGCAATATCCACTATATTAGAGCCCAAAAAGTAGTCGGCGCTCACAATATTAATACAGTCCCACCACTGGCTGTAAAACCACTTCGGGAACAGTGGGTTCACAGTGTCGGCCCTCTGTCTCAGCCCTCCCTTCGATCGGAAACTGAATATAATTTCCTCAAAAGTTGGTGTCATTTGAGCCATAGCTGAGCGAAGGTATTGTCTCTCATGGGCTGAGCACAGGTGTGACCGGAAATACTGTTCCAAACCTTCCACAGAGTTCTCATTCGCCCACTGATGCCTCACAGGATGCCATACCAGTCCCCTATCCGTGTCGCTTGTGAGCACATGTTTGTCCTCATAGCCAATGACCAGTCGTTTATCCGATTCTATCATTTCGTTTATCGTCTTATTTGCTAAAAGTTTATAAAAAAATTAAAGAATATTCTTGAAGTGTATTTATAATGGTTTTCTTGCCATAACTTTCCGGTGCAATCCATTGGCCGACAAACTCTTTAATGAGATCCATAAGCTGTTGGTGTCTGTCGTGAAATACCTGTCCGGTTGAGTCATTCATAAAGTTCCTGNATCCATAAGCTGTTGGTGTCTGTCGTGAAATACCTGTCCGGTTGAGTCATTCATAAAGTTCCTGTGCTTATGTATATCAAAGATGACCACCTCTTTGGGCGCCGCCATTAGAAAAGCTTTAATGTCTTGTAGTATTCGACGGACTGAGTGCTCGCACATCCATTGGCCGTGAATTATCTGTAAGGGCTCTTCTATGGTGAGGGACTGGTAGTCGTCTTCCTGATGGCCAACCCTTATGTCCACATATCGTATGCCATAAACTAATTGATCAAATATGCTCTCGTCCTGAGCGTACAAATAGATTGATTTTGCTATTTATTGAATACATTTAACATAAGATTCTGTGTAAGAATATTCTTATATTTAATTTGATGATACATTACTGGGAATATTATTTAATCCGTATTTATGATAACATCCCGAGTCGTGAGCGCCGGGTATCGCGATCTCATCGAGTCTTTTGTGTCCAATCGAGTGAAGACTGTTTTCCATCCAAAAGGGTTGAGTTTTGAAGCAATTTTGGGCTAAAATGGTATTATTCCGGACGTATATTATATGCCATTTCAGACAACCATTAATGAGTGTCTCATTTGCATTAAAGTCTATATTCAATATTTGGTGAGAAGTTCTTTAAATAGAAATAAAATCAGATTAAAAATATAAAACTACTGTATACTCAAAAATATAGATTCTTGTGTTTAGTTTAAATTCATGGAGTCATTCAAAAAGTACATGTTTATGTAATGTAGCAAGGTGTTTACTAATAACTTATAAATAGTATTTTTTGGGTACCTACTTATTGAATGACTCCATAAGCCTTATACCGTTTATGACCGCTTTTAAGGCAATTTGTATTGATTTTGAATACAGGATTATCGATGCTATCGGTGTGATTGGCATACAGTGCCACCCAATCATCTGTACAACCCTTCGGTGCGTTCATCCAATTCATGACAAGCCGTCTCTCTGTCTGGACGTCGGGAACCAATTGCCAGAAGTCTTTGGTATCCATTTGGGCGGAAATTGTGAGCCAAACGTCTAATTTATTGCCACCTAAATTGAGGGTTAATTAAGTAATATTAACCATTCATTTGTATAATAAAGCAATAATTTATTCATATTTTATACATACATATGATTTGAAAGAAAATTAACTTTAATTGTATGATTATATTTATAACTATAATAAATGGGTGAGTATTCATTTTTAATATAATAAAAATATTAAAAATTAGTTTTTAATTAGTTTTCAAATATCATTAGTGAGCTATAAATATTAAACAAATTAATTAAATAACAAAATTCATTAATTTCATAATATTTTTAATTATTAGAAAAAATTAATCAGTGTCACATGTCTTAATACAGTATATATTTTGGCATTTAATCAAATATTATTTACTAAATCCTTAACATAATTAAGAAATACCAATATTTTGATTAAATAAGTGATAAATAAGATAAGAGTTGATCACAAGATTTCTGATCCAAGTTTTCCATCAAAATATTGTGCGAAAAACTTGTAATCATTTTGTTGAATGAGTTTTAGTGTGGATTCAAATGTGGGATCAGTTTTGAGACAATTCTTATCAATAGACCATAAGTTATATTCCGATAATACTTGTGAACACTCGGGTCTTGTCTTATGGATTGCAACACTCATTGAGTCAATGATTTGATCCATTTTAGTAAATTTGTCGTATATTTCATATCCCGAGTAAATACTCAATTCCGGTGAACTGCAATAAAAAATATAAATTTTACTTAATTATGTCAATAAACTAAACATCAAAATGATTACTCAAAAGCATTCAAATTAAACAATTTGTCAGCAATGATCGCTAGACTATAAATGTCTGCTTTAATGGTGTATTTAGTATGCAATTTAGTATGCAATTTAACTTCTGGTGCCATGTATTGCATTGTGCCCACTCCTGTGGTATGACTGGCATGGGAACCAGGGTGCAATGTCGCAAAACCAAAGTCACATAATTTCATAAACCTACCGTCCCTTACATTCTTCGCCAACAATATGTTGTCGGGTTTGAGGTCCCTGTGAATTATCGGTGGATTCAATTCATGCAAATACTGGACGCACTCTAAGAGCTCTTTGAATATATGACACGAAATGTAAAACTCGATTGAATTCATGGGTTCTCCCGGTTGTCGACCAAATACTTGTGGTTTGTGTATAAGAATATCCTTAAGACTAGGGCCACCCAACTCCATGTGTATATAAAATATATGGTTTTCTGTGCCGCTATCGATATAATGGACAACAAATTTTGATCGAACTTTAATTAAAGAATACAATTCTTTATAATATAAGTTATTTGGAACAGGAATTGCTAAAAATATATATGAATTATAATCAATTAAATTAATGTTAATTATTTTAAATTAATTTTAATTGAATATATCAATACCGTTAGTTTGTATCATTTTGACTGCATATTTTTGTCCATCAGATTTTTTAATAACTCGATATACTTTTCCAAATGCTCCTGAACCAATTTCACCTTCAACTTCGAATATTGCATTAAATAACGATAAATTATCATCGGGATCAATTCCATCTAAACATTATATAGAAATATAAAACATAAATTAATTAACAATAACAATTACTGATAGTATACTACCATTTATGGTTTGATTTATAACGACAAACATTTTATATAAAAATTTATTACAATTTTCTATAAATTCTTGTTTTGTGTTATAATTATATTCTTCATAATCGCATAAATTAATTGTTTTGTGAGTCATTTGAAATTCCAGTGAATAAAAGTCGAACAAATTATTATAATTAGTTTCACCCAGGCCAGTTTTCATAAACACCTTGTGCACTTTTCTATTGATTATGGCAGCAATATATGATATATGCTTTTGGTATGTGAACACTCGATACAGTTCTTGAAACCTTTCGTCAAAGAATAATTTGGCCGTATCTTGAATCGCGTAATCACCTTGCTCATCCCGGTATTGGCCACAAAAATAAACTAAACCATCATTCTTTATGAAATATGCCCTGGTACCTGCGCCGGACATACTTCTTACATCAGTCAAATTGCCTATTAACAGTGGCCTTGCTACTTTGTCAGTTGTTTTATGACCCAAATTGAAGTATTTATTTGAACCCCAACTAAACACTCGTCCATTAGTTGTGATTGCAAACGATGTGAATTGCAAACAATAGACAGCTGTCATTTTATAGTCAGGGTCAAAATTCAATTTAATCGGTTGAGCCACGCAATTAGACTCATCATCACTGCCTACCTGTCCCTCTGAATTTCTACCCCACCCGTAGACACAGCCACCATTCGTGAGCACTAATGAGTGACAATAACCGCAACTTATTTGTCGCACATTTAAGTTATTATTTATAAATAATATTTTCTCGGGTGTTAAGTAACGCTCACATGGTGACCTGGCTAACTGTCCCTCATTATTGTAACCCAAACCATATATGTAGTTGTTTTCATTGATGGCTAACACAAAGTCGGATCCATTGAAGAATTGTGTGATATTCTTGTGACACAATTCCCGTATAAGTTGTGGTGAATTGACAGCCATATTGTGACCCAATCCTAGAGCTCCACGAAAATTAATGCCTAAACCGTATACTAAATCATCGGTTGTGGCGAACAGTATGTTATGTCCTTTTGGGTCATCAAACACGTGAAATAATTTAATGGATTTAATAATGCTTTTATTAACTGACATTTTTACTAAGTTTTTAATATATTCAACAAAATTAGCAAACAATATAATTATTATTAACATAGTTACTGAAATGTAAAATGTTAAATTAAAACGCACATTAAATTTTAGGCGTAAACGTAACTGTGCAGGTCTATTTATAATTTTTGCAATTAACATATTAATTAATAATTATCGGTTATTATAGTAATTAATGCGCTCATATATTTTGAGATGTTAATGTGTTGAAAAATATAATGTAAATTTTAGGAACTTCATATAAATTACACATTTACTGAATTGAAAACATAAATAATTCATGAAAATTTCACCAGGTAAAGTTATAGTTAATTTTATAATCTATATTAAATAATCTTTTATATTTTTGAGATATACTTTGTATAAGATGTTGGTAACTACCTGCACACTCATCACCGGTAGGTGTTACAATTTCTATTATAACTAATATTTATGCGTTATATAATATAAGCAATAATTAATGGTCCCGTTAATTTATTTTATTCATTTTATGAAAAATATTATAATTTTATATTTAATCCATAACTTCGCTTATGTTTAATTAACTAATATAATTAACAGTCATTAATCAGAATATAAAGGTAATCATAATTATCAAATTCAAAAGTCCAATTTATATTTTAATGGCTTTTAATAATATTTTAATTGTATCTTATCATATTTGACATTTAAAGTTCTTTGATAATTAATTATATTTTAATGAATTGATTAAATGTTAACATTTACATAAATATTTAATAATAGTTACAACAATAAGTAGTAGTCATACGTAAATACAAATCACAAAAGTCAAACCTATTAAACATTAATTGAAATTAGTTTCAAATGATTTCAACATTATGTCTATTTATCAGTATTAATAGTGTTTCTATTAATAAAGCTGAATGCCAGATTTACAGTAGTTTTCAATGCAATTATAGCAAACAGTATGTAATAATATGCATGATAAGTATCCAGGAATACACACGTATTTATTAGTGAATAAGACGAAAAATGACTGCCAAAATGCTGAATGCCAGATTTACAGTAGTTTTCAATGCAATTATAGCAAACAGTATGTAATAATATGCATGATAAGTATCCAGGAATACACACGTATTTATTAGTGAATAAGACGAAAAATGACTGCCAAAATGAAACAGCAACTTTTTCAACATTAGTAACAAAATTAGTAAAAACATAAGTTTTGTTTTATTGAAATTCTTGTTATTTTGAGCGCTTTCACCAAACTTTGATTGCAATTTACGTTTATGTCTATTTAACATGTATAGTGTTATTCCGATAATAAACATTATAATAGGTATTTGTATTACAAATTCTGTATATAATCTAAATATACGGGTTTGTTTTTTGACATTTAGACCATTAATCCATTCATTAATTGTATTATTAGACTGAAGGCACACATATTGATTAACATTGTAGTCAAAGTAAAATACATAACTGTTTGCAATGAATGGTAAACTGAACGCAAGACTTATTATCCAGACGATTATTATTAAAATCCTCGGCCTTTTGTTGAGCCAATTCCGTGATGAATAATTCAAGGCATTCCTGATGACCGCATACCTGTCCCACGCCATCAAACATATCGTAAACGACTCGATGTATAGTCGAGTGGCGCTTAAGTAGTTATTCATTGATTGCATGAATTCTGCGATGTTTGGGTAGTTTGTGATAACCATTGGGTTTATGAGGAATATTCTGCTCATATCAACAATGATTACCAGGGAATCTGTACTAAACATGTTTATTATTAGCAATTCGTAGGCCTTTGCCTTTTTAAAGGTTCTTCTCATTGATTTGTAAAATATTAGTAAATAATATATGTTTGAAATCAATTGAAACACTTCTACGACAAACACAATAGACATGAAAAAACTTAGTGTTAAATACATTTTTTAGAGATAATCAAATAAATTCTTAAAAATATTAACTAGTTATTTTGATATTTAGTAAGCATACTTTACTGACTTTACATTGTAATGACAAATCACTATTTTTTTATTAAATTACAAATAAGTTATATCAATTTAAGTAAATAAGCAAATATAGAAATTTATATAATAAATTAATTGTCATACTGTTATAGTATTTTGGTATACAATTTCCAAAATATCTGTATTTTCATAGATATTTTTGTAATAGTATTATGAACTTTTGCATTCAAAATGATAATAGAGTACTTTCAAAAGGTAATTGACTTATATTTTAATGGTAATCCAATCTTTAGAAATAAATAAATTGTAAAATAAAAATATATTATTAAATTGAATTTATTTTTTATACACGTTATTACACTCTAAAAATTACAGTATTATTATACA